AGCAACCCTGCGATAAATAAATTCAATAAGTTCAATCAAAAAAATTCACAATCTCATAAATATATGTATATTAGAAAAGAAAATGAAATGAAGTCTTTATTATTCTTTTAAAATTCATAAATCATGTCTAACCAGAAAGATGATGTAACCCGTTGCTTCCAACTTCAGTATCAGACAACTCCAAGCATTTCAGACGAGATAAACCTGAGAATCATGTAAACGATAAACCAAAAATCACTATACGCCAGTAAAGATTAACACTTAAGCATAACTGAAAATGAAAAAGAAAAATTATTTCCAGCAGATTTTAATGATACTAGGAAATGTATCCAATTATAAGACAGTAATGCGTTTACCAGTGTTTCGATTAATGAACAAATGTAAAAAGGTTAAACGATAGCACAAAACAGGCAAAAGGCTAAACTAACCTGCAAGATGAATCATCCCTTCATCATTAATACCACAAGAATCCAAGTTCAAGCTCTCCAAGTTTATGAGACCTGTGCCACAAACAAAAGGACAATTAATGTCTACAATGCAATAAATCAACTCTCACAGAAGCAAAAGCTCGAAACACAATGATACTCGATTCAATTCCTGAAAGAGAAGATACAATTACCCTTAAGGTGCACCAAGATAGCACTCGTGATCTCATTGAATCCCAAATTCAAGACTTTCAAAGATTGCATATCTGTTTAAAACAGGAGAGAGAGAGAGAGAGAGAGAGAGAGAGAGGGCAATATCGTGAAATATTCAAACACATTATCTTCTTCAAGTTGCTATTGCTTCAATACAAATGGATATGTATGCTTAGGTGTCTCACTCGAGAAATTTTCACATCCAGCATCTGTTAAATTGCATCTGCTGAGGTTCAAATATAACAAGGCATCAAGAGCTGCCACAAACAAAGAAATTATCAGCACAGAAATAGATATAGTGGTTACAACAAGTTATTACAGCTCTTAATGGTCGCTATCATCCAAAAGATAACAAAATATATATTAAAATGGACAAAAAAAAATAAGATGAACCTAAAAGTGATTCCAGGCAAGCTGCAGTAACAGGGCAACCCTCCATGTTTAAAAGAGCAAGCCTTTTCAAATCTACAAGACAAATAATACGGAAATTAGATATTTTAATTGCGCATGACAAGTGGCTAAACAGCAAAGATTTCTTTGTTGTCCTGTGAGCAGCAATATAGTGATATATAATTACGAAAATGGACATAAGAGTTGGTAATACAATGATCTGCATCACGTAAAAGCATTTTTGGGTCGCACAATATGGACAATGGTACTTTCTAACTAATGGCGCTAATTTATTATAGTTCATAAAACAGAAATTTCGTGTTAAATGGTGGTGATGTACAATTGAGGCTCCACGAGCAGTTTTGACACAAAATCCATCGACCTTGAAAACATAAAATCTGAAACGAGACTTCACAAAATTAAAGAAAAATTAACTAAGCTAGCTTTGAATTGCAGAGCCTTCGTGGGTATAATTTACCTTTTATAAAGGCGACACCATTATCGGTGACCTTACTTGATGCAATTTGTAATGATTTCAAGTTTGTAAGACCTGCAACAGAGAGCAATGGTATTCAGCCCAACAAATCACAAACCAAAGGTGAGATGGAACCACCCACAAGTAATAGCTAGGCATTGAAAAGAAAAGGACAAGTGAGAAAGAAAAGGACAATTAAAACATATGAGCTAGCTATACCTGAAAGAGCCTTCATGTCAGCATCAGTGATGCAATTACAACAATTAACATTCAGAGTTTCAAGCTTTGTAAGTCCTGGATAAAGTGAAGAGAAATTGTATTCACTTCAACAATTTTCAAAAGAAAAAAGAA